GTAGAAAGTCTAAGGTTAAAGTTTTGGGGGTTTGGGGAAGAAACCACAGAATCAGGTAGAGTATTCCAGACATTGACCACTGTTGCTGAAGTGGTATTTCCTGCAATCAAGTTTGGTGCGGTTAACTTTGAGTTTGTATCTATTGTGCGTTCTTGTGTTGTTATGGTTGAAGCTGAAGTATTCATTGACAGGTAGGACATTGCAATGTATGATTTTATATACCATACTTAGATCAGACCGAAGGTGGCGTAATTCAAGGTTTTCTAGGTCTAGAATTTCAAGTCTGGTGGCATAAGGTATTCTACAACGAGTAGAGGAGTGGAGAACTCTTCTTGTGAAATATTTCTGGACTTTCTCAACTGTGCTAATATCAGATACGTAATGTGGGTTCCAGACTGATGAGCTGTACTCGAGTATTGGTCTAGCAAATGTTTTGTATGCTCTAGTTAGTAGTGTGATATTATCAGAGAAAAAGCTACGTAGGATTAGGTTAACAACTCTTAATGCTTTTTTGGCTATGTAGATACAGTGGGCTCTAGCACTTAGATCATTAGAGATGAGTATTCCAAGGTCTTTTACAGAGCTTGGATCATCAACAAGATCTTGACTATTCAGCTTGTATTTTATTTTCTGATTTTTTTTGCCAATATGTAAGACAGAGCATTTATTTGTTGAGATTTGAAGTTGCCATTTGTTTGACCATTCTGATAAATAGTCAAGATCTTTTTGAAGGGTAGCAGTATTGTCTGTTGTATTGAACAGCTTTACATCGTCAAGCGAAAAGAACGCAGTTGCTCTTAATATGATCACAGAGGTCATTTATGTAGAGTATGAAAAGAGTTGGTCCTAGAACACTGCCTTGGGGGACACCACTATTGACAGGTACAGAATTTGACAGGACGCTCCCAATTTTGACCATTTGTTGTCTGTTTGACAGGAATGCTTCTATCCAGTTATGCTGTTGTCCAGAGACACCATAAGATTTTAGTTTTAGGAGTAGTTTGTCGTGTACCACTGAATCAAAGGCTTTATAGAAGTCTATGTAGATTGCATCTATTGCTTTGCCCTGATCGACTTGTGTAGTCCATATGTTTTTGCTGTGTAAGAGTTGCAGTTTACAGGATATTTTTTTCCTGAAACCAAATTGTTTATTGGAGAGTAGGTTGTTTTGTCTCTAAGTGGAAGATAATGGATTGGTTAATAATTGATTCCATGACTTTACACGTGACGCAGCATAAAGAGATTGGTCTGTAATTTTCAACTAGGTTGGGGTCTCCCTTTTTGAAGATGGGGATGACTGTGGCTTGTGACCATAGGTTAGGCAAGGAGCTGGTCCTGAAAGATTTTTCAAAGATTATGCTTAGAGGTTCAGCTTTTTTAAGAAGTAGGCACATATTCTGTCTGGTCCAATAGATAGAGATGGTTTTAGATTGCGTAGTGCTTTTTCAACATTATCTTCTGTAAAATCAGTATGCATTAGATCATTGTAGTTGTCTGTGGTTCGGCTAGGAAATACTGGGCATGATCCATTGCTGTTTACAAATACTGAGCCGAAGAATGTGTTAAAGATGTTGGCTTTAATGGTGTCGTCGTTGCAGTCTTTACCATTAGGTCCTATCAGGGGTGGGATGGACTTTTAGTTTGTTGCTTACAAAATTGTAAAAAGCGCAGGTGGAATTGGTGCATAGAAGGTTTTCCTCTTGTTTAATGTGATAATTGGTGCATTCAGTCTTTATCAGACGAACACAATACAGAAGCCTGATGATGGCAGATGAGATTCTGCCGAAATGTTGCTACAACTTTAAAAGCACAACCTAGAACTGAACATCTTTTTAGACTTTGCTGTTCCAATTGCTTTGGAAGATCATTGGCTTAATAAACATAAGAAAAGTTAAATGCAGAAACCACACACATCTGCTTCAAATCAGATATTTTTTTCCCTTTGTCAAAAAAGTGGGGGATTCACATTTAAATTCAAGGAAAGCAGTCTACTTTTATTTTACAAGAAGTGAAATGTTTGGGGAAAAAATCAATAGTAGGCATATTTAATGCATTATATGTGTACAGAAAACTAAGAACCCGTCAAGTTGATTGTCATGTCATATGCTGTGGTAAGCAAGATTTATTTTAAGACTATACACCCACACACATCTATATACTTATATATATATACAGTATATGGAAGTGCTGCTTTAAAAAGGAAATCAAAAATCCAGAAAATATAGAGCCACTATGTTAAAACATGGCATAGGTGTATGTATATTGTAAAAAGGCAGCCATTATTATTTATTAACTAGTTTGTGGATTAATGTATAAAACCAGCAAACCAACAGCTTATTCCATTAATCATATATAATCCATTGCTTAGGATATGAGTGAGTTATCCTTTTACAGCTGGAGGTTGCACATTTTAAGTGCGGGTTCAGAGTTCCAGGGGATGTAGCCGATGTTGCATGACATCAGGAGCATAAAGCAAAAAATTTCTGATCTTTAGATTCAGGAAGTGGGGGTAATTACACAAAATAGCCCAATATATCATTGAAAAGAGAAAGAAGGCGTGTTTAGATACATTCACTACCTTGATATAAAAATATTAAGGGTGGAATAAAAAATTAAAAAGCAGAGGGGAATTTGACTGGGGCAAACTGCCAATTTGCTGTTGAATTGGCAACACAAAACCTGAGGCTTGTAAAACTGACACACCATTGTTTTGTTCAGATGATTGATTCTTACTTGTAACAAAGTAAATTCTTTCATTATGCTCATGGGGGAATGGGGTCAGAGACGGTCACCAAGTGCCGCGTAGAGAGGAAAAATCCAGCAAAATGTTTTTGATATATTTAGGTCATGCATTTAACATGATGAGTTGATTAAATAATTCTCCTGTACATAAAATATTTGGAGACATTCTGGCAAGTCTGCAAACTTATCATCCTCATTTCACTTAGCCAAACTTGGATCATATCAACAAGCTAAACAGGTATTATCTGGGTTAATAGTCCTTGAATATGAAAATACTTAGGAATCCTAAGACTATAATCTAGATAGGAAGTTGAAAAAAATGGAAGAAAGCAGTGGCAAATCACTTCAATACTGTTGCCCAACAACCAGGGTAAGTATTTTCTGTTGGAAGAGTCAAGCTTGACTCAAAAGTGACTTTTTCGGTTTTTCCGGGATTCATTGAACAAAAAAGGAGGGTGCTCTTAATGTTGAAGTCACAAAGTATGTTTTGCTCAGGTGAAAAGTGTCAGGAATCAGAAAGATCTTCAGGTTAGGAAGATTTTAATTCCACTTTGGCAAAAATAAAATACGTTCAACCATATCCTCCTCAAGGCAAAGTTCACAATACTTGAAAGTGGGAAACAGAAAGTAGAGAGTCCTTATATCAATAAGTAAATTAATATTTTGTTACCATCTAATTCTTTTTTTAAAAAAATGTTTTATCTATCAGTTGGAAAGTATAAAGTATCAAAAAGTAAAAACAGGTAACTTCTCACAAACTTACTGGGTTTTTTCTCCATCTTTCCTGATGAAGGCTTCCTGAAAAGTTTTGCACATTGTTTTTAAGCCTTCAGTCATATTATTTTAGTATAATTTTAAAGGACCTGAGAGAATTTTAAAATCACTTAGAGCAAATTGGCATCAGTGTGCAATATTTTAATCAGTTTGATTCATTTTTTTAACGGGGTACAAATGATGTGGCAACTGATTACACACATTTTAAATAATATACATGGCTGCCATCTTCTGTTTTAAAAGTAAAACTACACCTAAATTGAAAAATCAATGTTGAACTAACCAATAGATAATTAAACCCACGCTATATTGTTCAATCATTTTCACCAGGGTTGCTTGTCCTTGGTCAGTGCCTGAGTGGCTAGTGGTTCCAAGGTGCTCCTTGATTATTCTTGCCCTCCTATCTGCATGTTATCACTTTGTGAGTGCCTTTCCAGCTCTCTTCCCAACATTACCTGTCACTTAGCAATATTTTACAAAAATTCAAGCAAACCTGGAGTTTCAGAAAACTGAATCAATGACCTTGCAATTACTGTATGCATAATTATATTATCTATATGGCATTAGCCCACTGATTAAATGAGGCTACCATTTGAGATGCTGGTCCATGCATTCCACATCTAATAGAAGGCATAGGGTGGAGATTTGGAAGAAGGTCCTATCATTTGCATGACACATCACCAAGTTTAAAGCTACTTCTTAAAATGCATTTAATCTGTTGGCTTTTCCTGTTTCATTGAATAATTGTATTTTTAATTACATGTCTAACCTTCATAACACCTCTTATACTAAAAGCAAATAAAAAATACAATTTCTTACAGAAGACATCAAACGTTCTTGCTTTGCTTTACTCTCTCAAAATAGACTACTACAGCGTATTTTTCTTTTCAAATAAACCTTTTAAAAGGGGTCAAACATGAAAGATATGTCCTTCCAGGTTCATTCTGGGAGTAAAGAAATACAATTCAGTTGTCATTATAGAAGTTTATTTGTATAAACAACAGGTCACATGACATAATTTATATTCTTTGTTTTGACAAGTTTTCTTACAACACCTGAGTTATTTAAATACTGAGATAGGGAAAAAGCCTCAATTTTCTAAGAAAAGTTCAAATCAAATATTTGCTCACAATTGGTCAGTTTTGTTTTTCCCTTCTACTGGATAGGCATTTCCGGCACAAACTAGAGAAAATGGTACTTTATTTGCACATTCTTACAAATGTCCATTATTGCAGTGGTACACAATGTAGTCCCCAGCCTCCTCAGAGCCTTTAATAAATACGAAGTTTACAAGCTTTGTCCACTGAACTTAGTAGACCTAACTGCACATCCAGTCTGCCGCATACCATTTCAGATAACCATTTTCAGATAACCATTTTCAGATAACCATTTTCAGATAACCATTTGAACTGTCAAACTAAACTGGTGCTCCTTTGTCTATGAGTGAGCTTAGCTCCACACCAAAAGGAAACTCTCATAATGTATTTAAGTAATTGTATTGAATAGCTAGATACTACTTATTCTAGGAATTTGTACATGTCTAGTGAAGCTAGTGGAAAAGACAACAGGTATCTCCCCTATTTAAATACCGGGTTTTTATCTTCAAATAATTTCGACATGTAGACATTGATCTGGCTATGTCAGAATTCAGAGCAGCTGCAGCCACTTTGCTCTTAGCTAGAGATTCACCACCTTCTTATAATTCTGGGAAAGATTGATGCCTTCAAAGCAGCTAATTCCTACGCAGAAGTTAGGAAGTGATGCTGTAAGAATTATCAATCTACTTTCAAGTGAAAAATAAAACCCCACTGTACAAGACTAGAGTATTCAGTTTTGGCCTTTTGGGGAGTAAAGAAGACTCATTTTGATATATTAGTAACATGCAGAGGACGAAACTAGCTAAAGTTACAGCATTAGAAGAGCGAAATGAGGGATCTCCAGCTAAGGCTTATTCGGTCCCAGTTATGTTTAAAAGCTTTTTCTATATCAGAGGTCCCCAAACTTGGCAACTTTAAGACTTGTGGACTTCAACTCCCAGAATTCTCCAGACAGCATAGCTGGAGAATTCTGGGAGTTGAAGTTCAGAAGTCTTAAAGTTTCCAAGTTTGGGGACCTCCTGTTCTATATGGACTATTATTTATTTGTTAATTTATATAGCTTCTCGTGTCACGAAACAAGTGACTCTGTCAGTACAACAAAACTAAATACCTAAAACAATTTTCATTATTAAAAATTCTAACAACGAAGCGAAGAAGTAGTAGGCAAAGGGATATTAATGATAACGGATTATTCGTGTTATTCTGCCTCACTAACTCACTGGTCTCCTGACCACCAGGTCTTGAGGGAACATTGGAAGCTCAGAAATATGGAGCCAACCTCATGCCAAGATGGACAATATGCCGCAATCTATGTGCCACAGCAGAAAAGGTTCACCGCCTAAGGCAGGGGTATCTAACCTGAGCAACTTTAAGAATCGTGGACTTCAGCTCCAAGCCATGGGCTGGCTGGAGAATTCTGGGAGTTGAAGTCCCCAGGTCCTAAAGTTGGCTCTGGCCTGGGGCCTGCCAAATGTAGTTCCCAAGGCAACGGAACCTCTGTAAATGCCCTCTCAGCTGCATCTGGTGGGACAGACAAGATGGAATTGAGAAGAGGTGGCCCCATGCCATGTAGGGCTTTAAAGGTCAACCCCAGTGCCTTCAATTGGACAAACTGGGAATCAGGGCGTCCTGTTAAGCAGAGGTATAACATGTGTCCTACCAGAATATAGATAAGATGCTTTAGGAACGACAATATGGGAATAAGTGAGAAAACTATTATTGGATGGAGTGAAGCGGGTGGCTCTCAACAATGTGGACTGGATCAAGGGAACAACGATGATTTGATTTAACAGATTGATAGAGTTGGAAGGGACCTTATAGGTCATCTAGTCCAACCCACCCAAGCAGGAGACCCTATACTATTTCTGACAGACAATCAAGCAGCATATTCAGCTTCTCTACTCAAAATGGCAACTAGGGTCATGCAGAGTAGTAGTAAACCTGGCAGTTTCTGTTTACTGTAGCCCTATTAGATCAAATGAAAGATGATCAATGCTACGAGGGGCCTCTCTAAAGGTAAACATAGCACTTTATTACATAGTTTAGTGAGGAAACTCAGATGCCTCTTTGGGGGCATTTCACTTTTATGCATCTCACCTAAGGATCTCAAATTCCTAGGCCTGCTTAAATACTGCCTTTTTTTTTTTACAGGACAGGCTAAAACAGTAGATTTGATCAGGAGGTTACATTTGGATTAAAAAAAAGGCCTGCACAGCCATTTGAATGTATTGCATTTTGAAACCCCAGTTGCATTAAACTGGAGGCCGAAAGCCTGCTATCGTCATTATATTTCATAGGGGTTTGCATTGCAAGCCATCTCAGAGGGACTGAGTCCTCTTATCTGAGCAATCAACCATTCAAGAGCCAAAATTGAGCAAAACACCCAGTTAGCCACAGTGGCATGTATAGTCTTTTATAAAGTGGTGAGCGAGTGGTATGGATGAGTTGGTGACCTGCAGTTAAGTTTAGCTTTGCCTTCCACTGTTGCTCCAATGGGCCTCCTTCATTTCTTCTTTTTTAAGAAGACTTGTGTATAATTTGAAATTATAGGCATGGCATCTCTAAGCATGGCCCTTAAGAAGCAACATGAAGACTGTGACAGCCACCAGTTGAATTTTCAGTAGGCTTAGAACAGGGGTCCCCAAACTTGGCAACTTTAAGACTTGTGGACCAACTCCCAGAATTCCGGGAGTTGAAGCCCACAAATCTTAAAGTTGCCAAGGTTGGGGACCTCTCTAAGGCTTAGAAGGTATAAATTAGTTTTCCCTGGACAGTTTTCCACTTGGTTCTTATCTTGAACCAATGAGGAAAAGATCGATCTGCCATACAGTTAACTCAATCATAGCTGCCAATGTCAATTTACACGGATCATCCTGAAGTACTACATACTTTTCAGTTACAATTTATTGAAGAGAAAATAAACTAATTCATGTCAGGCAGATGTGGACCCCAATTTGATGCAACCATCAGGGTTTTCACACAATCTATGAGAGAGAAGGAAGCGTCACAGACTGCTGAGTGCTTCTGAACAAATCAAATCTGATTTTGCAAAAGAACGTCTTAGTGGATCCCACTCGAATTGCAAAGAATAAAGAAATGCCTTTGGAATTTGCTACTTCCACACTGAAGTCTCAATCTGATGCTCCAGAGAAAAGGGGAATCGGTACAACTTATGCGTAAAATAGAACAGAATTATTCATCTGCAAAAGTTTGGCTTAAAAGGGTACTTTCCCTAGCTGTACTGAAAAGAACTGAGTTTCCTTTTGCTGATATAAGCGTAACCGTTTTAAATGTTTAAAGAGGGTGTGTGAGATGTGAATAATGTGCTACACACTTAAGCTGACAGGCTTGATCTTATCAATATGATAATACATCAGTTCACCTAGTGACTCTGGGAAATTTAACCCTGCAATAAATCTCTCCAGCAAATTCTTCAAATTTAGGCTTCATTTCCATAAACAATCCCAATATCTTCACACCAGCCAGAGGATGCAGTCCAACTACTTCATACATCATTTCTTTCCAGATATAAATAGACTCCACACTGGCCAGATTTATCCTACACAAAATCAACTTGCAAAATAGCAGCTGCGTGGGCCAGCCTGCGGGCGAATCTTTTGAAGGAAATTAAAGGAGGAGATGTTAACGGAAGGGCTGAAAAAGATATCCCTTTTGAAAACAAGAGGGGAAAGAGGGCACCAAAAGGACGTCAAAATGTGTCTTCCAGGATGGTCTTTTTTCTTTTTTTTTTTTCTTGGGAGTCCGAAATATATAACGATGCCATTTGAATAAAGGAATTTTAAGTCAAGTTGTCCCCACATACATTCCTACGTAAACTAGAGCTCACTGCATTCATTGGTACGAGTTTTCAATATAACATGTTCTTTCATGTTTGGACGGTGCACAGGTCACAAAAAGCACTTTTCCTTTCTCACACAAAAATGTAATTTAGCAGAGTGGAAGAGACCACAGCGATTTTCTAGTCTAACCCATGCTTAAGGCCAATTTCCCCCAAACAGTTCTCTAACCTGCTGTAATTTTTAGTTCTGATTTCCCCCACCCCCTGAAGCCACCTAATTTTCTAAAATTTGGAGTGACTCCAACCAACCAATTAACTGACCCAAAACTGATGCAGAGCTTAAAATTTAAAACATTACTGTCCTTAGTAATCGGGGTGTGGAAGTGGGGGGAAGGCATCCTGCTAGCCAATTTGCTGGTATTTTTGTAGCTTTAAAAGGGATATGCACCAAGCTACTTGTGCCTGGGAAGGAAGCAAGAATAATGCAACATCAGGAAATTAGAAGCCTTTCTTCACCGATTCCATCCAAATATGGGGGGGAAAAAGAGAGAGAAAAGGGTAGGAAGGAGAGACAAATGCTGTTGTAACTTTAAGAAATGATTCCCCCAGTCGTTTAATTGCTAGAGAGAAAAGTTGTCAGCCTGTGCAGGTTGTCAGTCCAATAAGAAATCTAAGAAGCAGGCTGAATAAACATGCCCCTTCCTGAAATCCTTGACAAAAAAAAAATAAATAAAAAATAAACTGTGCTTAGCAGAGTCCACAGACCTGGAGTTTTCCAGCCTCTACCCGAGCTGGATTTCTCCCGAGAACATAGTGAGCAACACCATGATAGTGAATCCCGTCAGCAGTCCAGCGTTCTGAATCGCAAATGCAATCAAAGCACTTCCACTCCTTTCGTCTTCTTTGCTGACTTCATTCATCTCTGGGAACTTATAAATTAAGAAAAACAATTAGAGGGGCTTTCGTTTTATTATTATTTTCCTCGTTTCGTTTTACAGCAAGGGTGTCAAACTCAAGGCTCGGGGGGACCGGATCCGGTTCGTGGGGTGCTTCGATTTGGCCCACGAAGCCACCCTGGAAACAGCAAAAGGACCGGCCTGCAGTGCTTCTGCCAGTGACAACGGAGCTCTGGAGGGCCCTCCCGAGCTCCGTTTTCGTTGGCAGAGGGTTGCAGGAGACTATGGCAGCCAAAAACGGAGCTCGGGAGCCCGTTTTCACCACAGGCGCCCCGACATGAGTGATGTCGAGCTGGCCACGCCCACCCTGGCCACGCCCACCCCAACTGTCAAGCACAACCCTGATGCAGCCCTGAATGAAATCAAATTTGACACCCCTGTTCTTAAAGCAATTGCGAAACTTTTGGGGGGGGGGGGAGATTTTATAAAAAAAAACCGTCAGTCGGGTATTTCTTTAATTTCTTAAGTGGAAGAGGAAAAGGGGGGGGGGAGACTGATCTTTCTTGATGTAACCTGAGTATATTTAATTTTATATCGAATTTGCATAACCTACACATGATACAATGGAGAGATGAAACCCAGATGGCCGGAACCTATCACCTCTGGGGGAGACAGCCAGGAGATGAAGAGACCATAAAAATTCCACAGTGAGATGTGTCCTGGGAAACCCTGGAAAAGATCGTTCTAAAAAGGGGGTGAAGGGGAATTAACATGTTGACTCTTTGTTTTACTGAATACACATCAAGATAAGGGGAGGGGTTTTAAACTCCCTTATCTATCTCTGCATGCCTGAGAGACCTTAGACGCTGCTTTTAATCCCCACATGAATTGTCTCATCTCAGTAAAGGATTCCTTTTGATGTGTTTTTGATACGTTTCCAGAAATTCATTCTAGTTGATTGAATGGGAAGAGTTCTGTAGCCTGACAACAGCATTCATTCCAAAGTGGCCCAGTGCGGAATAAACAAGCCATTTTAAAACGTCCAGATATTGTTAGCTGTGATCAGACATTACAGCGAAGGCCTTAGCTTCTCACAAATGAGGGCAACTAGACGTGTCCCAGGATAATGTTGCAGGATCCAATCTGGGTCAGAGGTTTATTCTTCCGAGCTTTTGGACTTGTGCTCAAACCCATCTTCAAGAACCTCTCTCTAGAAGAGGGTGTACTTCTCTCTACATTCTGGTAAAGAGGAGTTTCCCTGAGGATCGGCTCCAGCACAATGGTGGGATTCTATTTTTTTTACTACTATTTTTACTGGGCGTGGCTTGGTGGGCGTGGCAGGGGAAGGTTACTGCAAAATCCCTGTTCCCTCCCCACCCCACTAACCTGCTTTCCAGCTCTGTTCTCCTGTGCAGGGGAACAAAAGAAGACCCAGCCAATCAGCTGGGACTCGGGAGGCGGAGAATAGAAGGGGGAGGGGCCAGTTAGAGGCGGGATTTGCCAGTTCTCTGAACTAGTCAAAATGTCCGCTACTGGTTCTCCAGAACGTCAGAACCAACTGAATACCACCTCTAAGTCTGAACGCTTGGAAGATTAAACCTCTGGTCCCAGTAACCAACCCAGCTTAGCTTCTGTTGTTAGGGATGTTATAGAAGAGAAGTTTTAAAAAATAGTGGCTTTTCGGCCAATTCTTGGTTTTGTTTGGCTTCCTTTTTTCAGCTCTGTTTGCATCTTTGTAGAATTATGAGAGACTAATGTGCAGGGCATAGCAACAAACCAGCAAAGTGAATACAAACCATGCATGTTTTTACAGGTTATGGCTATTTACAGTTGCAACTGGCGATCCAAACCTAACCTTAGATTTCAAGGTGTTATTTATTAACCTTCAAACAAAGAACAGTTTATTCCCCAACCCTTCCACACTGCTTTGCATGATGTATGAACAGACTGAAACAACCTGAAGGACTAAATTTGCAGTTACGATTTTAAAAAAATCGAGACTTCGTTTATCCAACGATTTGCTGGACTGGGGCTGTTGATGCCAAAATGTATCTATGGCAGCCCTTGCAAAAGTCTCACATTAGTCACTTGGCACTAAGAAAAAGAGGGTAAAGGATTATGTTTGGAATGTAAAGGTTGCAGTCCAGGAGCCATAGACAGCCCTTGGCAACCTGAGATATCTGCAAATGAACTAAGTCCAAAATGTTGGCTTATCATTTTGCATTTTGGGAGAGTAAGACAAAAGTCTTGTTACTTTTCCTTTCTTCAAGTAGAATGATTATTCAAATCCCAAACCCCATCAAATCTTCTAGAACGGTTGGTCTTTCTTGTTGTGGCCTGCCAGCGGCCAGCAGAGCTGGCAGCAGACAGTGGGGAGGTTGAGGAGGAACATGGGCCAGTCCTGGAGTCTGGGGAAGGCTCTGACAAGGGCTCTGCATTGGAGGCAGAAATGGGGCCAGGGCTGTCTGACAATTACCAGTTGCCTTCAGAGTCGGAGATCAGTGGGGCAGAAGAACAGCTGGAGCCTGTTTCCAGTATGCGCATGCACAGAGCTGCCAGGAGAAGGGAACAGCTAAGGAACAAGGGTCGGCTCGGGAGTAAAGGCACAGGTGGACAGTAAATGGCCCCTCCCATAGGGAATAAAGAGGAGAAAAGGGGGAGTTGTGTTTGCAGGATTAGTTCATTAGGGTGAAGATTTATTCCTGACTTCTTGCCAAGAATTGTCTGATACAGAGTGGTGTTTGCAAGATATCGGTCTGGCAACTCTCCCAGCCTGACAAAGGTCTGTAGTGGTGCAATCTCTTATGCATCGAAGGCAAATTCCTTGTGTGTCCAACCACATTTGTCCAATAAAGAATCCTAGTTCTAATTAGAGCTCGCAATTGGGCCCTTAGTTCAGGTTTTGCCAAAATAAAGTATTGTTCAGGAAGGAGTCAAGATCTGTTTTGTGCAAGAAGATTTCAATTCTTATACCTCACCCAATCAGATCTCCTTTATATAAGTTTCAGACTCTGGGTAAAATAAGCCAAATAGTCTTACTATCCTGGCTAAAGGGGAAGTATAGGAGTTGTGGCTCCAACCTATCAGAAGGAAACCCGATGATTTCTTTTACCTGCCTACCACTTACCATGTCAGCCAATGCAATGTAGAGAAACATCCCGCCTGCTAGAGCGAAGATCCAGTTGGCTGAGAAGTGGCTGCCGGCCAATATTCCAAAGCCCAGGCCCAGGTAGCAACAGCAAGCGGAGAGGAAGTTGAAGAAAAGGGCTTGCTGGATTGTCATCCCAGAATTCAGCAGAATGACAAAATCTCCTGCAAAGAGGAACCACAGTTCCAAAGAAGTTTTAGAAGGAAAGGCATTGAGTTTGAAATTGGCAGAATCAAAGCTTTGAAGAGCTGCTGCCCAATACATTCATCCAAAAGCATTTGGCATTTTTCAGATCAACTCTCCCATATTAATGATCAACACATGTTTCTGCTCGGGGTGGGATACGATAGGGTTAACTACCAGTTCGGGATTTACGAGCTTCCCTGCAGGCTGCGAGCTGCGCCCCTGTAAATCGTCATCAGCAGCTGCCTGCAGAGAAGCAGCCTTCGAAACAGCCCTCTTTTCCTGCTTTTTTAACTGCAGCTGTGCCTCGTTCGGCAGCTGAAGTTGAACAAAATCAGGAAATAAAGGTCAGATAAAAGCCCAGATGGGTGGGTGGGCAAAAACATCAGCAGACATAGAACCGGTTCAGAGCTACTGGTTCTACAGAGGTGGACAGAACTGGGAGAAACCCACCCCTGTTTCTGCTGCTGATATACTTCTTCTGCTTTGATGAAAACGATGAATCTTTGTCTAAACGGCAGCCAAAGTACTTAAACTTATATCACAGTACTTTTACAGCCCCCTCTAAGCGGTTTACAGAGTCAGCCTACTGTTCCCCAACAATTTGGGTCTTATTATTATTTTTTCCTTGGGTCTTATTTTCGGGGGAGGTCTTTTTCACTGTCTCACCTCACGGCATTGGCACTGACAGCCCGGGCCAGCAGCAGCCCATGTGGCTGCTGCCGGCCCACTGCTTCTGCAGTTGCTTGTCGCTGCTCACGCGAGGCACTTGCTGGCCTTAAAGGCCTCTGATGGCAAAATGGAGGCTGGGGGATGCCATGCGCATCAATCCGGAGCTGGTGTCCCATCTGCAGACACCTTCAGGGAAGACCAAAATGGAGGACAGGGGCGAAATGCGCCAAGCGGTGGTAAGCGGGTGCAGGAGTGGACTGCCCAGGCGAGGCAGGTGTCGCGGTGTGGGAGGCCTGGCTGCAACTCTCCTAAGGTAAGTGGGTGCAGGGCAGGTGGGGGCAGCTCCACCCTCCTATCCCCCCTATTTTGATTTTTACCCATGAGCCTTGACCCACACCTCCTGCAACCAGGTGCAATGGAATGGGCAGGGTCTTAACTAGGGCTTATTTTTTGGGGGGTACAGCTTATATCAGCAACATGTGTAAAAAAAATCAAGCTAGGGCTTATTTTCAGGATAGGTCTTACTTTGGGGGAAACACCATAATTTGACAATACGTTAATACAGCTGAATGCATATTACTGAAGAACTCATCGACGGTATGATGAGAACATTTCTTCTACCTTTTTTACAATACATAGAAATTGTAGAAATCTCTGCCCTGTTTTCTGTTGTTTGTGTTTTCTATCTAAAATAACAACCCTCAAATCCTCCTGGATCTTTCTTTGCAAGGCAGATGTTCCTACTTTTGATTGCTCCTTAATAAAAATTCCACTGAGGGCACCCCTAAAAGGAATTCCTATGCATTTTTCCAGCCGTAAAGCAGAAAAGAAGCAGTACACACACCTAGCTCATGCGGGAATTCTTCGCAAAGAATGGCCACCGAGGTGCTGATGCCTTGAAAAACCGAGACGGTGAAGGAGGCGCCAATAGCCAGCCCATCAATGAAATTGTGAAGGCCGTCACTCAAGGTTATCATCCAAGCCAGAGTGCCGATGTCTGAGTAACGCACCCCTTTCAACCAATAGCACATGCTTTGAGATGCTTGGAGGTCCTGGGAAAAAAGACGTATGACATTAAGAAAAGCTGAAAATCCTTCATGACGGGTGAATCAACAATCCTATAGGGAGCCTACAGGAGGGAGCATTTGTAGTTCAGGGTCTCTGAGCTTGGTGGTTTTCTTGCAGACGTTTCATTACCAAACTAGGTAACGTCATCAGGGAACCGCATCAGACTCTATATGGAGCCTGCATCATAACCTGTGGTCACCTAATCACATTACCTCCTATGATATAATAGGAGGCATAAGCATGCACATTGTGAGAATCTAATGTAGGGAAAGGAAATTCAGGTGTTGCCATTGAAACATTTTCCAATATTGCAATGGCAAAAAGACCCCTCCACTAGTACAATCCTTGCATAAGAAATTTGTTTTACTACTATTCTATTCTACTACTTTACTTACTGCTATTACTAATAGCACAGTGGTTAGAATGCAGCACTGCAGGCTGTTTCTGTTGACCGCTAGTAGTTCAGCAGTTCAATTCTCACTGGCTCAAGGTTGACTCAGCCTTCCGTCCTTCCAAGGTGGGTAAAATGAGGACCCAACTTGTTGGGGGCAAGAGGCTGACTCTGTAAACTGCTTAGAGAGGGCTGCAAAGCGGTGTATTAGTCTAAGTGCTATAGCTATTCTTCAAGATTTGGGAGAAAGTAACTGCAGACCAGATATGTTATGCTATAGCTCAAGTATTTTAACCTTCCTCTGGAGCAATAACTTAATGTAGATTTCTGGATTTAGCTTGGTCGAGGATTTTATTCATATATTTATTAAATTTATTTGTCACCCATCTCACTCTCCTGTTCACAGGTTCTCAGTTGAATCTTAGTTGGGAGATGGAAATCTGAAAGCAAGCAACCAAGGACCCTATATTTTTATGTGAACGTAGGGCTTACGGGGGTTAGTATTTATTTTGTGTTGACACTGTTTGCCATCTAGAGCCTCTAGCAGTGGTAACTGTGTGTGTGTGTGTGTGTGTGTGTGTGTGTGAGGGAGAGAGAGAGAGAGAGAAAGGGAAAGGGAAAGAAAAAGAGAGACAGAAAGAGACAGACAGACAGAAAGAGAGAGAGACAGAGTCAGAGAGAAAGAGAAAGAGAGAAAAAGAAAGAAACAGAGACAGAAGAGAGAGAAAGAGACAGAGAGGAAAAAAAAGAGACAGAGAGAAAGAGAGACAGAGACAGAAAAAGAGAGAGAAAGAGAAAGAGAAAGAAAGAAAGCAAGAAACAGACAAAGAAAAAAAGAGACAGAAAAAAAGAGAGAAAGAGAGACAGAGAGAAAGAAAGAAAGAGACAGAAAGAGAGAGAAATAAAAAGAGAGGCAGAGAGAAAGAGACAGAGACAGAAAAAGAGAGAGAGAGAAAAAGAGAGAGAAAGAAAAAGAGAAAGAAAAAGAGAAAGAGAGACAGAAAAAAGAAAGACAGAGACAGAGAAAGAAAAAAGAGAGAGATGGAGAAACAGAAAGAGAAAGGGAAAGAGAAAGAGAGAGAAAGAAAGACAGAGACAGAAAGAAAGAGACAGAGAAAGAGACAGAAAGAGAGAGAGAGAAATAAAAAGAGACAGAAAGAGAGACAGAGACAGAAAGAGAAAGAGAGAAAGAGAAAAGAGAGAAAGAAAGACAGAGAAAAAAAGAGACAGAGAGAAAAAAAGAGAAAGAGAGAAAGAGAGACAAAGAGAGATAGAGACAGAGAAAGACAAGAAAGAGAGAGAGAGAAAGAGGAAGAGAGAGAGAGAAGGGCTCACTGGCCCCAAAAGCAACCCTGGTGTAATCATTCACTGACCTGAACAGACAAGGTGCTAACAACCTTCTGATCAGCCGCGGGATTCTTGCATTCCAAATCGCTGCCCTTATTAGGGATCATATGATCTAGGTCTCCATTCTGCAGCTTCTCAGTCACACCTTCTTCCTGGTCCTTCTTAGAAGGGAGGGACTCGCTGCTGTAATGGCTGTGTCCATGAAGGTGCTGGGGAACGCAGAGACAATTTCACCCAAAAAAGGTACATACAATGCCGCCACCACCAGATCCTGCCTTTCTGTGCAAACCAGATGATTATTTCAACAATCATTAAATACATGAACGAATGTAACCTCTCTCGAAGGCAATTTGAAGGACCAGTCAAACACTTGGACAACCTATATTTTGAACAATGGGCCTAGAAGTATTTTGGAAACCAGGTGGTGAGGCAATTGCACCTTCAGAGAGGGCACATTTCCGACTCTAAGCATGAGACACAAGGAAAATCTTTTCTCACTCTCTTGACAAGAAGACCTGCTAAGTAGGAAGGCTCACTTGCAGACTTAAGGAGCCTGCCACTCCCTCCGATAACTGGATTCTAAGCAGGGGTGGGTTTCTACCAGTTCTGTCCACCTCTGTAGAACTGGTAGCTCTGAAGAGCAGCAGACATAGAACCAGTTCTACGTCTGCTGATGTTTTTGCCCACCCGGGGTCTTACCTGATCTTTGTTTCCTGATTTTTCAACTTCAGCTGCCGAACGAGGCACAGCTGCAGTTAAAAAAGCAGGAAAAGAGGGCTGTTTCAAAGGCTGCTTCTCTGCACGCAGCGTGCTGGTGACGATTTACAGGCGTGCAGCTCGCAGCGTGCAGGGAAGCACATCATAAATCACCAAACCTCGTAAATCCCAAACCGGTAGTTAACCCTGTCATATCCCACCCCTGATTCTAAGCTATTTAGAGTTCTTCTCATTGAGGGACGTGGTGACTCAGTAGCTAAGACGCTGAGCTTGTCGATCCGAAAAGGTCAGCAGTTGGGCAGTTCGAATCCCTAGCACCGCGGAACAGAGTGAGCTCCCGTTACTTGTCCCAGCTTCTGCCAACCTAGCAGTTTGAAAGCCTATAAAAATTCAAGTAGAAAAATAGGGACCACCTTTGGTGGGGAGATAACAGCGTTCCGTGCGCCGTTTAGTCATACCAGCCACATGACCACGGAGACATCTTCGGACAGCGCTGGCTCTTCGGTTTTGTAACGGAGATGAGCACCACCCCCTAGAGCCAGAAACGACTAGCACGGATGTTACCTATCATTGACCAGACCTTTGAGTTGTACCTAGAAAACATGGGCTGATCTTTTAATGCTGCATTAGGGTATCATGACACCATGACCGTATCATGACAACTTAACTTCCAGCTTCCAACATATGCTTCCAAAAGTTCTTCCAGGGTAGAGCTACATGGAGGACATTGCAGTAATGGAGACGTGAGGCAACCTAAAGAACTTTGGCCAGGTTAGAGTGGCAGGAATTGCCACAACTTGCAAACAACGCATGAGATTCCAGGACAGTAGCAGTCCAGGTGTACTTCTAAACTATGGTTTTAATCTCTTGGAGCGAGCAGGTTTCTTTTCTAAACCATTGTGGGCTACAAACCCTGAGACTAGGATTCTACAAAGGACGCTGCCCTCTAATTTGCATTGAATCCCAGCATGTTCATCTCCACCCACCTCATTATTGCCCCTAAGAATTATTGAAGGTTTTCAACTAGCAAATTTAAATCTAAGTGATGACCTCTCTTAGTGTACCGCAGGCTACTTCTGCTGACTGCCGGCTGACTGCAATTTGGCAGTTCGAATCCCACCAGGCTCAAGCCTCCCATCGTTCTGAGGTGGGTAAAATGAGGACCCAGATTGTTGGGGGCAATTATGCTGACTTTGTAAACAGCTTAGAAAGGGCTGTGAAGCACTGTGAAGTGGTATATAAATGCTATTGCTATTGTCCTTCCTTCCTTCCCTCCCCCCCTCCCTTCCATGGTGCACTCTGGTTAGAATGCAATATTGCAGGCTGACTCTGCCCATAGCCAGGAGTTTGATCCTGACGGGCTGAAGGTTGACTCAGCTTTCCGTCCTTCCGAGGTGGGTAAAATGAGGAGCCAGATTGTTGGGGGACAAGAGGCTGACTCTGTAAACTGCTTAGAGAGGGCTGTAAAAGCACTGTGAAGCGGTATATAAGTCTAAGTGCTAGTGCTACTTAAAAAGCAAGAAACAGGAGAAAGCTACTATGGTATTATAGGTTAAAAGCCTTAGGGAGGATACAACATCCTCTTGTTGAGGGCCATCTTTCTAGATACGATCCACCAGGATGGATCTGAATTACTGGGACTGAATCCCCATCCCAGCAGTCCTAGCTGATGGCATCCAAAATCACCATGAGGTCCAAAGACGACTTCTCACTAAGTTCTTGCCTTCTAGGAGGTTGATCAAAAAGTCCCCATCCCATATCAATCAGTGCAAGGTCCATGAGACGAGTTTCATCCAGATAAACATGGTTTGCTATTCACCACAGGACACCACATATTACCCATTATTATAACCCCTGCTATTATTATAGGTGGTTATTTTAGCTTCAATATGGCTATTGCCATATTTTTATACCTCCGTTCAAAACTGCTGTACCGCAGATATTTTGCCACATTTCTAGGCTATGCAACGTGATGCTTAATGCCTAACAATCCACAAAAGTTCATAATCATTAAGTGCCCCGATTACTGTGTTAAAAGGAAATATTTTCCAAATACTTCTTTCTGAACGTTCATGTACGCAATCATATTCAGCACTTTCACCTATATGTACATTGGAACAATTCTTCTCTCAGATATGATTTGCCTCTTTTGTCCTTTATTGACTGTTCCTTCCAATATCTACTCCATGGGTTGCTCAGCTGTTTTAATTCTGACATGTCCTACACTTGTTTTGTACCTGTAATCAGTACTGAAAACTTGAAAAGGGGAGAAACGGGGAATTCAAACAAGCAGGCAGGATCTATCTGATACTCTGCACAAAATACATCCCATATTAAAACCGGAAAAGAAACTCAGTATTTCTAAATGCATTTTTACTATTTTTTCTGTTGTAATTGATATTGAGCTGATGGGATTAAACTTTCACAAAATTTTTGAGGCTGTAATAAAAATTTAATTACAAAAACTTCCATTAAAAAAATAATGGTAGACGGGCACTTCAGTTTCTTCAAACGTTTATTACAACCTCTTCAGAAAATAAGCCAGGGCAGATAACTTCTCTGAAAAACAGCTGATTGCACACTTGATCAATATCTCTCAAACTTGGCACCTTTAAGACGGGATGGACTTCAGTTCCCAGAATTCCCCAATCAGCCATTTAACCAGAATTCCCCAATCAGCCGTTTCTCTCTTCTCTCTAGCAGAGGGTGTACTTCTCTCTACGTTCTGGTAAAGAGGAGTTTCCCTGAGGATCGGCTCCAGCACAATGGTGGGATTCAATTTTTTTTACTACTATTTTTACTGGGCGTGGCTTGGTGAGCGTGGCAGGGGAAGGTTACTTCAAAATCCCCATTCCCTCCCCACCCCACTAACCTGCTTTCCAGCTCCGTTCTCCTAGGCAGGGCAACCAAAGAAGACCCAGCCAATCAGCTGGAACTGGGGAGGCGGAGAATAGATGGGGGCGGGGCCAGTCAGAGGCGGTATTTGCCAGTTCTCCGAACTACTCAAAATTTCTGCTACTGGTTCTCCAAAACTGGTCAGAACCAGCTGAATACCCACCTCTGGTATAGGGTCTCTCCCTTGAGCAGGGTGGGGTTGGACTGATCTCCAAGGTCCCCTTCTAACTCTATTCTGATGGATGGAAAATGCAATTAAATTCCAAAAGGAAAGGAACTAAAGGTTGTGTCAGGAACAACAGAGACTCACCTGATCCTTCTGTTTCAGGAGCATCTTCAGTATTTTCTCAGTGAAAAAAAAGAGATAAAATCCCCCAAAGACAACCGCAGATTTGGAGACATAGTCATCTTTCTGTGGATTGAAGCCAAAGGCCTGAAGGAAATGGGGAGAAAAAGGGTTGGCTGTCAAAAGTATGTATGTAAAAAAAATAAAAAATAAAAAAATAAAATAAAATAAAAATAAAATAAAATAACAAAATAAAATAAAATAATAAAATAAAAAATAATAAAATAAAATAAAATATAAAATATAAAATAAAATAATAAAATTAAAATAAATAAATAAATAAAATAATAATAAAATAAAATAAAATATAAAATAAAATAAAAATCATAAAATAAAATAACAAAATAAAATAATAAAAGAAAATAACAAAATAAAACAATAAAAGAAAAAATAATAAAATAAAATAATAAATAAAATAAAATATAAATAAATAAAATAATAATAAAATAAAATAAAATAATAAAATATAAAATAATAAAATAAAATCATAAAATAAAATAAAATCATAAAATAAAATAAAAAATAATAAAATAAAATAATAAATAAAATAAAATATAAAATATAATAATAAAATTAAAATAAATTAAAATAAAATAAAATAAAAATAAAATAAATAAATATTACTCCTCCTTTTCTATCTAAAGTTCTGTCTTCCTTTCTTCTCACCTCTAAGGGTAGGCCAGAGTGGAGCTAAAAAGCTCCGGAGCTTCAGAATCTACCCGAGAAATGCATTTCCTGATCACGAGTGGCAACTAATTCGTATTACTACCGCGTGTCTCTAAGTTAAGCCCACATCAGATGTCCTCTCACCTTGCTCAGCAACTAACAAAAGCTATCTTTGAATTTGATGGGCTGTAGTCTCTGCTTCTGAGGAGTACATTTTAAACTTCTTGTGTCTAATTATGCTCTGCCTTGTGCACAATTCTAAAACACATTCAACAATACATTCCTTCCACATGGAGACCGTGTCCAAGAGAAAGCTGGACTTGAATTCTGGCATTATATGTAGGAGGTAAAAATGAGCAAGTTAATCAATCCACATATTTTGCCTGGTGAGTTCCATTTGCAAGCTGAACTTGCACGGTTAAAAAAAATTCAGGACCGTATCAAATAGCAAACCAAAGGAGATTCTTTATGGCCTTTTGCTTGCTTTGAAAGCACAAAAATCATCATTTGATTTTTCAGTTCTATGATGAACCAGCTGATGTGTTGTACACAGTATTAGCATGTGCAAGATATGTTTCCTATTCATTTTAGATCAGATACACTATGGACCTTGTATGTTTTCATGAGGAATACAGGTGTATCGGAGAGATTTGGAACTACCCACCTTTCCCCGAAATTAAGACCAGGTTTTATATTAATTTTTGCTCCAAAAGATGCATTAGGGCTTATTTTATGGTTAGGTCTTATTTTGGGGGAAATATAATATTAAATTCTGTCCATCTGGCTGACTATCTTAGCTGGGGCTTATTTTGAAGGTAGGGCTTTTATTACGAGCATCCTGAAAAATCATGCTAGGACTTATTTCCAGTTGGGTCTTATTTGGGGAGGACCAGGGTAGCGGGGGGGGGGGGGGGGGGGGGGGGGGGGAGAAAGCGGGGGAAGCACATACACGGAGCTCCATTTGTGTAAGTGGTGGGCATGCACCCCTGCCACTCGTGCAAATGGAACACACGCACACACACGCTTATGTGTTGCTCGCACAAATGGGGATGTGCATGCATACCAGCTCGCCCGCTGCTTCTGTAGCCTGGTTCTGAATGGCTCACGGCCCGATAGTGGGTCAACGGCCTGGGAGTTGGGTACCCCTGCGTTGTAGAATGTGAAGGCAATTTTCCCCACTGCCTATTAGTCTTCCCCTAACCCTTTTCTTGGGAAATTACTATGGTCAACATATTTGCAGCCAGAGATTTTTAGCAGGGAATTAATCACACTTTGGCTCAAACTATCACAACTGACCTGTGATTTTCTGTTGATATGGGATTCCGGCCATTAAATTGGCACAGGACTTTTAGTCTTGTGTTCCTTATCTTAACTGACATTTGTTCTCAACATGCTCGATTGAGTTAATTTAACCTTACATGAAAACAAAAAATGCCTTCCCAAAAGGCAAACGCCTAAATTAATGGTCCATTGATTCCTTGTTCTAACGGCTCCACAACCCGATATTTAGATGGCTTACATATTTCCACCCTAGGTATAACTGAAGGGAGCTCGGTGGCTCTGTATCACTTCTCCTGAAAGCGATGAACAGCTACCACAAAGCACAGGTCACACTGCACACACCACACAATCATCGACAATTGCACAATGCAGGCCCAAAGGCCCTTGTCCTACCTCAGGGATGAGCTGGAAGAGGGCGTTAGAATAAAGAGTGCCGATTGCCAGAGCTATGAAGTAGAGGAGCAACCGCTTGTAAAAGGTCTTCTTCATGAAAGGAACCACGCTGGCCCCGATCAAGGAACAGAGGGAAATGATGGTCACGCAGAGGAAACCGTATCCCCAGACTGCGTGAGGGTCAACCCCACCCGGATGAAAATCACAGGAGGAAGAACGACATGGGAAGAGGGAAAAAAACAACAACCAGAACGTACAAAAATGAATTCATACCAGGGGATGAAAAGGGGAGACAGGGAACAGAAGACAGGGAGAGGGAGAGAGGGAGGGAGAGAGAGAGGGAGGGAGAGAGAGAGAGGAGATATTTATTAATGATTGATACACAAATCAAGATTGATTCAGGCATGCTTGAAGCACTCTTGGGCACTATGGAAAGCTCCTTCTTGATGGGAAGTCCAACATGGTCCAGGAGAAGGGTTGGCTGTGGCTCTTGTCCTTTGGAACATCTCACCCCTTGAGGTAAGATGGGCCCCCATCCTTCTGACCTCTGCCAGGACCCGAGGACCTGACGGTGCCAGATGATCTGGGTTCCCAACGAGGGAGCATCATCACCCTGGAGATGGCTGATGAGTTAAGAGGTAATCCCATCTCCTTCCCATGCGTCTTGGTCCCTTCTCCCTGTTTTTTTTTTCACTGTCATTTTATTTTGATTGGGACTTCCATTTTTCTCATTTTAGAAACGTTCCTCCATTAGGGTGTTAATGTTTTTAAGGCAGTAAGCTGCCCAGAGTCATTTTGATATGAGAGGGGTGGCAAATTAATTAATCAATCAAGTAAATAATAAAAACACAAGAGAGGCGAAGAGACCCGCCACAGACCATGAAGATCAATAAATTTAACCTCGCTATAAGGATCTGTAGTAAAAATCCAATAATTTGCACCGGATTGGAAGTTCTGCCCAATTTTACGGCGAGGGCCTGCTCACCACGATCCAAGTCACAATGTTCAGACTGATGCTGAAGCTTTAAGTCTCCAGCCAGGTGGACTTCCAAGTTGTCCTTTCTGGTCCACTAGGAGGACATTTTTCCCAAATCTGTTCTGCACGTAGACTCAAGAAGGAGATGACGTGCCAGAGCCCAAGAGTGATACAGGCAAAACACAAGCCATCCCTTGCCTGGGTATGTGTTCTCTATTATAGGACAAGCAATATTTGTACTGAAATATTTGTTGCCCGAGGCACAGAGATTCTTAATTGATTGGCACCGTCGCATTGCAACAGTTTTTAACAAGACAATTTAACAATGGAGACCATTATTTCTGTTCCTGTTGGATCACAAAGGCGTATTTTAATTTTCAAGCAACAAAACATTACGTTTACGGTTTGGGAACGAAAATAACCATGAACTCTAGGGGAAAAAAAGGATTACATAAAACAATGCTATCGGTAGCCTGGCATTATCCATATAAAATGAAAGTTGAAAGGATTCTGAAGGAATAGTACTGATTTCTTTTTATTACTTTCTTTTTTTTTTTCCCCCCCAAATGAGAGAAATCAATTTTGTAGGAAGACTAGTACAGATACTATAAAAATAGTCTTTCCCACAAAGGGCCAAATGAACTCTCATTTTTTACCTCATGTTTATCTATGCATGTTTATCTAAGTTGAGCCAGAAAACAATTACGACTTAAAAACCTGCAACTAGAGTTCATGGCTATATTTAAGGCGTCCCCAAAACGTACAATCAAAAACCACAATTTACTAAAGATTACATCTCACACAGCGCCAAGAAAACTCCTCCATTCATGAAAATAAACCAATTACTGGAAGAGGAACCGATAAAGAAACCCGAGAAGTCAAGATAAAAGGACGTCCTCCCATATATACAGGTGCCAACATGGTGTTTGGTCCTTCCTTTTACAAAAGCAAATGATCTTTATGGTGCTCCACCACAGTGGTTTTCCCACCTACATTGTTGAACAGGCCAAAAAGACACTGCAGTGCTAAAAAAAACCCTGGAGTTAAGTCCATGTGCCTCTCATTTATAATCATGCTCTTTGGAAATGCAACCAAGGTAGCTTCCATTTATAGTCAAAGCTTATTAAGAGGCAGAATCCTTCAAGAACCTCCCACTCTTAATATGCACTACGGACAAAATCACAGTATTTATTTTTTCTGGAATGGAGAGCTACGCAGTGTGGCAGTTCGGGTCTCACCAGGCTCAAGGCTGAGTCAGCCTTCCGTCCTTCACAGGTGGGTATTGCCCCTAAGAATTACTGAAGGTTTTTAACTAGCAAACGTAGATCTAAGTGATGACCTTTCTCAGAAGATTCATATACTGTAGATATTAGTGTACCACAGGCTACTTCTGCTGACTGCCGGCTGACTGCAATTTGGCAGTTCGAATCTCACCAGGCTCAAGCCTTCCATCGTTCTGAGGTGGGTAAAATGAGGACCCAGATTGTTGGGGGCAATTATGCTGACTCTGTAAACAGCTTATAAAGGGCTGTGAAGCACTGTGAAGTGGTATATAAGTGCTATTGCTATTGTCCTTCCTTCCTTCCTTCCTTCCTTCCTTCCTTCCTTCCTTCCTTCCTTCCTTCCTTCCTTCCCTTTCCTTCCTTCCTTCCTTCCTTCCTTCCTTCCTTCCTTCCTTCCTCTGCCAGTAGTTCAATCCTGACCGGCTCAAGGTTGACTCAGCCTTCCCTCCTTCCGAGGTGGGTAAAATGGGGACCCAGATTATTGGGGGCAAGAGGCTGACTCCATAAACCGCTTAGAGAGGGCTGCAAAGCACTGTGAAGCGGTACATAATCTAAGTGCTATTGCTATCTAACCAGAGGGGACCTTTTAGATTTTTGTCATACGAAGCAGCCAACATGTCCCCTGTGCAGGCACAGAAATCATGCACACGCCTGGACATACCACACGAAGCAGAGCTTTTATTCCTCCCTTTATTTTTGGGGAACCTCCCTGGGCCCGAGAGGTGAAAAATCCAATTTCAAAAGCCACTGAGAATTCAAGCAGCCGATCGGGTACCAGAAGATAAACTGGTGGGTGTGATGGGGTTGGGAACCTATGAGCAGGTGGGGGTTTGTTCTTACTGCACCTCTGGGATCAGCTGGAACAGGGCGTTAGAGAACAGGGTCCCGATGGAGAGCGCGATGAAATAAGTTAGGATGCGTGTGAAAAAGACCTTCTCAGTACAGGGCACGATGAAGACTCCAAGGAGGGAGGCAAGGTTAATCAGTGTAACACTGAGGAAACCAAACCCCCACACTGTAAACAAGAAGAAAGAAGGGCACGTTTACCCAAGTAATTTTGAAAACTGGGAATGGGCCTTTAAACACAAGGGACGTTGGAAAGGTCTAAGGCTCTAACCCGGGTATCGGCAACCCGCGGCTCTGGAGCTGCATGCAGCTCTTTGGGCCCTCTGCTGTGGCTCCCTGTTGGGTGATCCCACCACTGGCTGGCTCTGCCCCTCGCCCTTCCCTCCCAGTCACTCCTCAAGTTTTACCTGAGGAGGTAAAACACAAAAAAAAAACAGAAAGGAGAGGGAAGGAGAGAGATCCATTTCCCACAGAAAACACCGGAAGCCACAAAACCTGGGTAGGCGTGGTCGTGTGACTGGGTGGGAGTGATGTTGAATTGGCCATGCCCACCCAGGTTTGGAGGCTCCCGGTGTTTTCTTTTCTGTGGGAAATGGGCCCAAATGAGTGTTTAAGGTTGCAGACCCCTGCTCTAACCTAATCCCTCAAAAGTTCTTTTGCAAGTTGACTTGGAAGTTTTTGAGGAGCAACTTTTCCAACCAGCTGGCTAATTCCCCGCATTTTTTTTTTCCTCCAGGGGGTGGAGGAAGCTGTTCCATTTTATACTCAAATTTAATCCATGAACCGTGTCAACAGATCAGACCCAGGCAGGGGAGTTGACATGTAACATGACGAGGCTAAAGCTTGATGTTGAAAAACAAAGTTCTCATGGAAAATTTGGACCTCTGTTTTGAAAGAGAAAAAGCCCTCATCACAATGTCATCCAAGTTAAGCCAATCAGTAAAAGTTTGGCTTGGATTGCTTAGCTTATAGCCAAAACAAACCCGCCGTGGTACTGTGACCGCCAAAAAAAGCAATATGGGTTAATTATTTTTTTTAAAGAGGAACTTGGATAAAATATGTCAAAACTGCGTTTGTTAACTATGGACCTAATTGTCCTGCTGGCAGACTTCTCTAAATGAGAGGAATCGTGCTCAGATCATTTCAGACCTTGTACATAACGTCTTTAGCATCCTATTTAGAGACCCCCATTCCCCAAACCCACCCAAAGGATGGGATCAACATTTTTGTACATCCCTTCGTTGCTGTTTTTGGTGGGGCAGATAGAAGGGATTAAATTGTAGTTTAAGCCTGCAAAGGGGATAAGAAACCTGCAACGCCCATGAAAACCCCTAAATTTCCATTAGAAAAATTGGAATTTAAGGGACCAAAAGAGGCACCTGGATTTTGCATGAACCATCTGTTGATGACTGGCCCATGCTTTCATGCCTAAAGTGGAACTAGAACTCATAGCCTCCTTGTGATTGGCCCAAAGTCACCCAGCTAGCTTTTCTGCCTAAGGAGGAACTAGAATTCACCATCTCCTGGTGACTGGCCCAAAG